CTTTATCACCTTGTTTGACTTTGCGAGGGCCCGGACAGCCGCACGTCTCTCAGCAGCTCCAAACCCACATGTATAATTGAAGAGGAGGAGTAGGAGAGAGCAGGAGGGAGTTGTCAGTCTCAAACACAGCTGCAGTGGTGCTGGTGGGCTGAGAAGTTCACCCTGACCACGAGCACAAGAGCCGTGGATGATGGATGGATTCCACTGTTGTGATCGGTGCATCCAGCCATCACGGAAAAGGACTTTGAGAACTTAAGTTTGCAGCTTTAGACTTGCTGTAATGTTGTGCATTATCTCCTGCCCTATATCTATATAACTAAACACTATATATACAGTAGATAGAGATATAATGATATTGATATTGAAGCATTTACAGCTAGTTAAGAAACATAGCAGCTACTTTTGTTGTAAATTTTGTGTTTTGCTGTGATCAAAATTATCTTCATTTTGGTCTGTAAAGTTATTGTCAGTTACTACAAAATGGGAAGAGAAAGCAACAACCAGAAAGAGTACAAATTGAAACTGTAAGGATGTGTGAATGGGTAAAATAAATGTATAAATTGTCACATTTTTTGTGTATTGTTTTCGGTTCCCTTTTACAAAGCACTTACAAACATGAGAAATTAGCATGTGTATGACACGTTGAAGTTTTGTAAATAAAGATAATTGAATTGAATGTGATTGAGAGAGGACATTTCAAACTAAAAACAGCTCCAGGTTTGTTATTGATGAAGGAACAATGCCATCACCCAATGACGTTTTTTACATATTACGTGCCCTTTAAGTTACATTTGTGTATGTTATGTTTTACACAGATTCTGCATTTACTTAACATGTTAATATGGTTTCCCCTGTTTATTTTAAAATGTGCCTAAAATATCTTTGACACATATTTCTCAGCAGCAGCAGGACGATATGCAGCAGCTCAAACTCTGCATCCTTCACATAACAGATAGCTCCCTATCCTCTTTCACAAAATCCCTAAATCCCCTTTGGTGTTTCTCTCGCCCCCTGTCAGGCACCTCCATCCTAAGCCAGCCTTTAAATATTTACATTTATCTTCTGTATTCACCAGCAGCCTCTCTCCCATTGCTTCCAGTGTGTCTGTGTTACTTTTTTAAAACCCCTGTGCCATCCTCTGGTCAATTTGACTCTCCACAGTGATTACAAAATACCCTAACCATATTTTTTCAAGCTGAATTTTGATGATTTTTCTCAACTTGACCAGCCCTATGTCAAAGGGTTAGAGGGTTCTTTTAACCAGACAAACTGATCTGATAGATAGATAGAGATAGTGATAATGCTGTTTCAACTACAGTTGAACCTGATGAAATCTCACACAACAAAGAGACAAATTTAATCTTTTACTTGTTACATTGTACAAGCGGAATGTCTTGACAGAGGCAAGGCACAGACCCTAGCCTCTCTCAGGACAAGTCTGAAGATTCACAGTCTGCAAGCCCCTTTTGGTAGAACAAGACACACCTTCGTATGCAGATGAGAAAGGAAGAAACCAACACAACAAAAGACACTTAGCATCTCCCGGTGTCTTCCTGAAGCTAAAGTGACTTACAATACAGAGCATTCAGCACATAGCCACATACGATTTACCAAAATGATAACTTAAGTTACATTCCAATATCTGATAGATACTGTAGATAGATATAGATAGATATCCAGCAGCAGAAGACTCATCCAGGTTTGTTGTACAGTCTGACAGCCGAAGGAACAAAGGATCTCTTGAAATGTTCAAGCAATTAAGCAGTACTAGCTTCTTCACATTTCTGTTCTTATTCAAACCCTAACCCTTACTTTTTACATTCAGCCCTATGTCATTTCTAGGGTATTTTACTTCTACTTTTAATGACCGTGGCGGTATCATTTTGACCTGAGGGTAGCGCAAGGGTGAAAGACAAGGTTTCCCCTAGTGTATGTGATAAGCTCCGAATGTGATAAATGTAATCGTTTTTTGCTGTCCAAGAGATGACCTAACTCATCTCTCGATCTTGTCTAGGTCTCGAGTGTCTACCACTTGACACGGTGCCTCACCTCGCCCCGATGCAGACTGTGGTAACATACTTCCCATGAGTCATTCTCTCAGACATCGCTTTCAAACAGCCAGAAAAATATGCTATCAGAAATATTATTATTCAAATGGCACAGAACAGTTACTATAAACAGACCATGACGTCACTCCAGACAGACCTCTACAGACTCTGGCTCCATGTATGCAGGCGAATCGAAACTTTTGTTTTGATTCGCCTGCATACGTACAATACAATACAGTTTATTCTTGTATAGCCCTAATTCACAACAGTAGTCATCCCAGAGGACTTAACAAAACCATTGAAATCACCAACACAGATCAGAGAATCAACAGTTCAGACACAAAAAGAATTTAGAACTCATGTTGATAAATGTCCATACATGTTGTAGAATGTTAAAGTGTCCTGGATCAACACCACAGTCCTTCTAGTTGGACACTAACTGCCCAACAGACCCTCCTGCATCGGCACGGAAAAACTAAATAAAAACCACAGTGGGAAAAAAGTGGGAAACCTCGGGGAGACCCATATTGAGAGAGGGATCCACTCCAATCAGAGGCATCACAATACATGTATTTGTGTGTAGTTTATGATGTTTTCTTTTTACTAATTTCTTTCAGTTTTAAAATTTTCTTTCTAAAACAGGGGAGTCAGACTCATTTTTGTCGAGGGCCAAATCTAAGAACATAACAGCTGGTTGAGGCCTAGAGTATAAAAGTAGTTTTCTTTTTTCTTTTCTTTTTTATTTGACAGGAGTTTGGATATTATTTTCTGGTAGGTTTGGGTTTAACCACTTATGTGCAAATATCAAGAAGATATGTAATTGAGGACTGAGTTCACTAAACAAAAAACATCTTTGACCTTAACTTACTTTACTTAACCTCTAATTAGTTACAATTTTAGTTCAAATTGGAATTATATGGTTGTTTTCCTAAGACAATAAGCTTACCATAGTATCCCATTACCATCAGTGCGACTAAGAATCATTTCAGGGGCCACTAAAACCCTAACCCATGGGCAAGAGTTTGACATGCCTGTTCTAAAATGACTGTTTTCCCTCTGTGCATGTGAAGCACTTTGGTCAGCTGGTGTTGTTGTAAATGTGCTATACAAATAAAGTTGGTATTGATGTTTGAAAGAGAATTTCTATATTTTGTTTTCTACTGGGTTAAATTAAAACCTCCCCCAAACACTGCTTCCGTTAAGACTCATGTTTACTGTCCCTGAACAGGCTTCAATGTGGGTAGGCTCCGGGTCGTGGGCAAAAGCTTTGAGACTGTCCTGCTTTAATCAGACAGGCGGAGGATTCTTTTTTCCTCTTTTCAGATGCATCTAAAGCACAAGTTTCCATCCACTGCATACAGAATCAGGGCGCACTGCAGAGTCTGTTTCTGTAATTAATGCTGGACTGTGCGAGGCTGATCGCAGGAACAATGGGGCAGTGGTGGAGCATCATTCGGTTGTAGGTCAAAAAACAAAGACTGGGAAGTTTCAGACATAATAACAAAGCAGATTTATATGAACTAAAATATGGCTTCGACATGAACATCAAAATATCCGACTTTTTGCTTTATTCAGGGCTGGGTCAAGAAGGTGGCAGCCTGAGCAGAGACCGGATCCACCAATCCATACACTTCCTCCAGCCAAAGCATCCTGGGGAGCAGTAATGTAAGATTAGACTAGATAAGATAGACTGTATTGATCTCACAATGGAGAAATAAATAGGATCAGTCAGGCTGTGCAAAAGACAAGAAATGTACAAATAGGTAAAAAGTAAAAAGATTGTGCAATATATAGCCTGGTCGTACCACACCATAGTACAAATTACATTTCGTACTAAGGTCTGGAGGTGCTCCATTGAGCTCCGTGGGAGGGGTTAACTCCTTTTGCAGATTGAAACGATTGGATCTGAGTTTACCGTGAAGTATGTAATGCGCCCGAGTCTGTCGTTTGCATTTAGTATTTAGCTTAGCCATCTCCTTTGCCGCTAACGGAGCCCGTGGGGAGTAGCGCCACAATCTATGCCAGCAATTACATTTTCTAAACATTCCTTTTGCGTCGGCTTCAATTTCTTGATAGAACCAGACCAGATTACTTTACTATCACATTCTTCGCCATTGCCAAATTGCGACCGGCCTATTCGGCGCAAAACTCTTGACGTCACCCACAACTAACTGCAACACCCGCCTCCCGCGCTCACTGATCGGTCGGATGGAATTCAACCGATTGTAATCGCAAACACAGGGACCAGACCCATTCGTTACATGCAGGGAAATGATGATTGAGCGGAGTGTACGGATGGCTAAGGCCAGGCTATGCGATATATACAGTGCCTTGTGAAAGTATTTGGCCCGTCTGCACCTTTCAACATTTTGCCACATTTCAGGCTTCAAACATAAAGATATTAAAATTTAATTTTTGTCAAGAATCAACAACAAGTGGGACACAATTGTGAAGTGGAACAAAATTTATTGGATCATTTAAACTTTTTTAACAAATAAACAACTGAAAAGTGGGGCGTGCAATATTATTTGGCCCCCTTGCGCTTATACTTTGTAGCGCCATGTAGCACTTACTGTTAATTAAAAGCGACTTAAGCAGCACAAGTTAAGAATATTAAGACTGGACTAGTATCACAAGACCTGAGGTTCGCTCAAGGAGGTTGAGTAGTAATAGACAAAACACAGTTAGTTTGAATATATGCGTTTGTATTTTTTGGGCCTTGAAGTGCACTGTGAGATTATTTACAAAGTATATACATATATACAGTTGTACAAAAAAATAGTCATGACTGGTAACCAAAAAGAAAAGAAAAGAAATAAATGCGCATATTTCACAACAGCAAAAGGCGTCCAACTTTGCCCAAGCCACAAGATCCCTCCCAAAGTTCCCAGAGTTCCAAAAGTGTTCTCAATAGAAGGAGCAAATGTTCATGTTCATACTGGATTGATGAAGATGTCCAGTCAAACCAAGGCCTCCAACATAGAGAATGGAGCAGCGCGGAGTGAGAACAGGGGGCAAAGGCTCAGAGTGTGTATCTCCTACCGCACAGGTGGAGTAGTGGGCTCAGATGCTGTGATGCTCAGGTTCCTGGGTCAAGCTCGCCATCGATTTGGTTCAGGATACCAGAAAAGACCTGGCCTGTGAGTAACAGGACCAGTGCATTAGCTAATATATCAAAAATAGTCAAATTCATTTCTAAATTCTCAAAACTTCTAAAATACATGCATGTAAAAGACTCAAAACATCTTAAGTGAATGACAAGTACACTTTAAATTCATTGCTCTGTACTAATTTACAAAGTTTAAGTATTCATAGAACTAAGTTACAACCGTAACTTCAAAGTTAAACAACTGTGCTTTAACGGGTGGAGCGCAGCTTACCGTTTGCTCCATACAAATGAATGGGATAGCAGCGCTAATGCTAAGCTAACCTTTACAATGAATGGAGCCTCGTTAGCACAACATTAGCATTAGCCGCTAGTGCGGCTATAGGTTCGGCAGGTAACACTTACCGATACACAGTGCAATTTAAACACGTCACTCTGTTCAGCGCGTTTCAAACAGCTCGTCACGTCCACACATCTACGAAGGTTGGCAATACATCAGTGGATGGTAACACAGAAGGTATATTTTGATAAGTTCACTGACTGTTTACTGACCTCTTGCAGCCTGTCAAAATGCGTCCCCCTTGCCTGCCGGCAGCCTGAGCCGCCATGATTAAAACTACTTGGTCACATGACTCACGTGCATCACGCGACCAACAGAGCTGGCGTGATTGGCTGACCTAAGGAGCGCAACTTGTACATATAATAACAATAAAATAATAATAAATTTTTAATATTTAATAATCTTTTATAGGGGTTACAGGGTCCCCCCTCTGAATCCATGCACGTCCCGCTGCATGAGAACTGTTAGACGACATGAACACTAGAGGCTAAAGAATTAGGTACTGCAGAGGTCAGACTAATAACTTCCGTGTATGCATCAGCCAAACCTTGAAATAGAGTTTGCACTACAGAGACTACCGGATTGCCGAATCTCGAATACTGTAACCGACTAGGCTGCTTACGATCACGATTCGAGCGTCTTAATGTGATATTGGGCTCGATATCATCATCGTGAGTCCGGTCATGGTCAGGTGAGTCAACAGAACTGGGTGACAGAGTCTCTGGATTGTGGAATGATTGCTCATTTACAATTATCTCTTCTTCATCTAGAATTGGCTCAGATTCTTCTTCTGGAATAGGTTCCAATATTATTCCTTCTCCCTCAGATTGAATTACTTGATCTTCAGGCACATTCTCGTCAGGTAAGTTCTCGTCAGGTAAGTTCTCGTCAGGTAAGTTCTCGTCAGGTAAGTTCTCGTCAGGTAAGTTCTCACTTAGGGTTTGTTGTGGACTGAACGTCTTTGAAACTGTAAACTTTGCAGGTAACAGGTAAGATTCTTCTATCACAGCAAGGTTTGTATCATCGTCTACATTCTCCACAACATCAGCATCCAAAGCTCTTTGACTGGGTTGACCAGAACTTGGCTTGCGAGTGGACACAGGCCTGGATCCACTTGGAGACTCGGTAGAAAGAAAATCACAGGGCAATAAAAGATCCCGATGGAGTGTTCGCAGCGGTCCATCCTTATGCTCAGGTGTCATGGTGTAAACAGGGAGTTCTTTGGCTTTATTCACCACGACATAGATTGTGTCCTCCCATTTGTCTGAGAGCTTGTGTTTGCCCCTCAAGCGAACATTCCGGACAAGGACACGATCCCCTGGTTCCAACACTGATGGTATGATACGTTTGTCGAACCGAACTTTGTTTCGCTCACCTCTTTTGGCAGCATTGCGAGATGCAACTTCATAGCTTTCCTTGAGCCGAGATTTTAAATTTGCGACATATTCCGAATGTGATTGGTGCTTTGGCTCTTTTATCGGTAACCCGAATGCAAGGTCAATAGGTAATCGCGGAGAACGTCCAAACATAAGTTCGTACGGCGTGAAACCAGTTACGTCGTTCCGCGTACAGTTATACGCATGCACCAACGGTTTAACATGTTCCTTCCATTTGGATTTTTGTTTTGTTTCCAGTGTCCCAAGCATGCTTAAGAGTGTTCGGTTGAACCGTTCCACCGGGTTCCCCCGTGGGTGGTACGGCGTGGTATGACTCTTCTTGATCCCCGTCACTTCGCATAGCTCTTTTATTAACTTCGACTCAAAGTCGGGACCTTGATCGGTGTGTATTCTTTCAGGGAAACCATAATGGATGATGAAATTTTCCCATAAGCACTTAGCGACTGTTCGGGCGGCTTTCTGATTACTGGTTGGAAACGCCATTGAAAACTTTGTGAAATGGTCCGTTAACACCAAAATGTCCTTAACGTTAGTGGAATCAGGCTCTAAGCTCAAGAAATCCATACAAATGAGCTCTAAGGGCCGGGTCGTTTGTATGTTAACCATCGGAGCAGCATTTTCAAGTGGCCTTTTTCTTCTGACACAACGTGGACAGGTTTTGATTTTGGTCTCTACGTCATTCGCCATTCTTGGCCAGAAAAATCTTGAGCGGACGAGATCCAAAGTTCGATCAATGCCAAGATGCCCCATGTCATTATGGAGACTGTGCAGAACTTGGTCTCGTAGGTCCTCCGGAAGTATTAATTGATATGAAACAGTTGCATCACCTTGCCTCCGCCTGTAGAGAATTCCATCAATGAGTTCAAGCTTGTTTGATTCTCTCAGCAAAAGAGGAAGTTCAGGGAGCTCTTTGCGAAGGGATGGAGGTGGTGCATCTCCAGTTTCAAGTCCGTGAATAACTTCTCCAATGCTTGGATCGGTTCTTTGCTTTGCTTGCAATTCAGATGTTGTCAGGGACGAAATTACTGGCAACCCATGATCTACCTCACCACTGAAAACTGCCGGTACAGCATCTGCCGAGATGGCAAAAGATTCCACAAGAGTGAGGTTTGCTTGACTTTGCAAATCACAAGTTGCTCGGACTAAAGCCCCTTGGCAAATTGCTTCGACGACATCAGGTGGAATGCAAGTGTCACTTTGATCGGAGATGTGATGTTTTTCAAAGTTGTGTATCAGATCCATTTCCTTCTGGGAATGTGGATTTTCCGGAGTGTGACCATGGGGTCTTCGGGACAATGCATCAGCATCTGTGTTTTGCTTGCCAGTTCGATATTGGAGTTTAAATGAGTAGGTGGACAAAGCAGCGAGCCATCGGTGGCTGGTGGCGTCAAGCTTTGCAGATGTTAGGATGTACGTCAAGGGATTGCTATCAGTGATTACTGTAAAGTTTGCCCCGTACAGGTAATCGTGGAATTTTTCTGTTACACTCCATTTTAGTGCAAGAAACTCCAACTTGTGGGCGGCATACCGGGATTCACTGTGTGATAAACCCCGACTGGCATATGCAATGACCCGAAGTTTTCCCTCCTGCTCCTGATATAGAGCTGCCCCAAGGCCCGTAGTACTTGCATCCGTATGGAGGATGTAGGGATCCTTGGGGTTTGCAAAGCCCAGCACGGGTGCAGAAGTAAGTTTTTCAATCAGATCCTCAAAAGCAAGTTGACATTCAGGTGTCCAGCGTTCACCAAAGGTTTGTTTGGGATCATGATACTGTTCCTTGCCAGTTTTCTTTCCATGTGTCGGAGCATATCCACGAGTAAGGTTGTTCAGGGGTTTTACGAGAATGGCATAATCTTTGATGAATCGGCGATAATAGCCCGAGAATCCAAGAAATGATTTAAGTTCTTTCAGTGTTTTGGGTATCGGCCAGGTCTTTAAGGCGCTGATTTTCTCTGGGTCTGTCTCAACTCCACGTTCAGAAACAATGTGTCCCAAATATCGGACAGATGATTGGAAGAACTTGCATTTTTCTGGAGATAGCTTAAGTCCATACTCCTTCAACCGGTGCAACACATGTAGCAAGCGACGTTCATGTTCCTCAATGGTGTCTGAAAATATTATCAAGTCATCCAGAAATACCAGAACTTCTCTCAAATTCAGGTCTCCCATGCATCGTTCCATCAACCTTTGGAATGTGCTAGGTGCATTCGTTACACCTTGCGGCATTCGATTGAACTCCCAAAAACCGAGGGGTGTCACAAATGCTGTCTTGGGCTTGTCCTCTTCGTGCATCTCAATTTGATAGTATCCTGACTTTAGGTCAAGAACCGAAAACCACTTAGACCCAGTTAATGCAGAGAACGTTTCCTCAAGATTGGGAAGAGCATATGCATCTTTGATGGTATGTTGATTGAGTTTACGATAATCAATGCATAGACGTATGTCACCATTCTTCTTCCGAACGACTACTATGGGGATGAAAATGGTGATTCAGACTCTCTGATGACTCCTGTCGCCAGCAGTTCCTGAAGATGTCTCCTAACGGCGTCAACATCGTTAGGGTGGATTGGTCTGGCACGGTGTTTAAACGGGGTGTCATCATGAAGTCTGATGTGATGTTTTACTTTTTCTGTGCAGCCAAAGTCAAGGTCATAATGCGCAAAAACTTCTGGTAGTTCACTGAGTTTTTTGGCTATGCGTTCTTTCCATTCAGTAGGAAGATGGGAATCGCCAAAATTGAAATGCAAATCAGGATTTGCCTCAGGTGATGTGGTGGAGTTAACAGTGTGTCTTGAAATAATGGCTTGGCAAGCACCTAATTCTGCAATAGCAGTAAGTGGTGGGATAAAGATGTCCTGGTCAGTCTCATTGGTTAACATCACTGGCACTTTGTGAGGTGACTGCTGGGTGAGTGTAATTAGACAGGTTTTGACAAATAACCCACCGGGTAACGCAGACTGGGGGGGTTCCACAACAGCCCAATTGCCAGATGAGGGACAAGCAATCCTGGCTGACCCTTTAAGAAGTACAGTCCGGCCTGCTGGAATAAGGAGTGGTGCTTTGCTCGATGAGTGAACAAGGCCAATACTCCCTGCCTCATTCTTTTGATGTTGTAGTTCCAGCATTTTTAAAACAGCTTTGTAACCATGAGACTGTGGTTCGAAAGTTGAACGACCGCCTCTGAGGAACTTGTCATATAGAACTTCTAGCGTGTTCATCCCAATTAGAATACCTGACTGACCAGATGGTTGGTCGGGAACAACCAGAGCAACCGTTGGAATTTCCATTTCTTCTCCAAGAAAATCTGATAGAAACTGGACCATTAGTTCTACGTATCCAAGGTATGGAACGGGCTGGCCAGCTGCACCTTCAACTTGTAATAGATTATCTAGAGACTTGACTGGCTGGTCTGACAGGTATTTGTTGTAAAATGATACAGGTATTGTCGTAACCTGCGAACCAGTGTCTAATAAACAATTGCATTCTTCGCCAGAAATAATTACGGAAGTGGTGCATTTGGATCCGACCAGTCCTTTCGGAAGTACGACTGTGGTCCCCACGGACTGAGTCAACTGGCTCCCCTTTATCTTTCTGGTGGGACATTGTTTGTCCTGCCCTGTTTCGGTCCGTCCCTTGACCGAAACGGGTCCTAGTTTTCCGACTCCCTGCCATTTGAAGGACTTCTCTTTTGCCATTTCTGCAATTTTTCATTGAACGTTTTCCTCTTTTCTGAAACTAGAGTTGGATTTGGGGGGTTTGGACATTGGGGTCGTGTGTGGCCCTCCTCCCCACACCGAAAACAGTAACCTGGCTTAGGTGAGGAAGAAGGGGTTACGTTAGTTGCTTTTGCGAATTTGGTCTGTCTTTGCATCTGGCTTTTACCCCTGGACTGACTGGTGAGAGCGGCAAGTTGCCTCTGCATATCGGCCACTTGTTTAGCCAATTGCTGAGTCAGTGAAGTCAAAGCGACTACTGGATCTGCTTCGTCGCCGGCGTCAGTTACATGCAGATTCACAGCCGCCTTTGTTTTAGCTCCTCCAAAATGTTGTTTCATCCTAACAGCTTTCGCCGCTTTGCGATCCTCTTCCGTGCGGAGGAGTAACAGCAGTTCAGCAAAGGTAGGAGGCATCACTTTCCTCTGTGTTAACTGCAACTCTGAGATCACCGTGTTGTCCCAACACCCTCGGCAGAACTGACTCAACAATTGTTTATTAAAGTCTGTTTCGGGTACTCCACCTCTCCGAACAGCCTGACCCAGAGAGACCTGTAACCGCTGCAAGTATGCTGATGACAGTTCTCCAGAATTCTGAAATGTGTCCATGAACTTTGCAAATAATTCATCTCCATCCTGTACAGTGCCATATCCAGAATCCAGTTGTTGCAGATAAACGTCCGGCAATGTGTCCGGCCGTAGATGTTTGACCATATCCGCAGCAGGAGGCAGAAGACTTTCCAGAATCCTCCGTGAACGTTGCAAGTCTGACACAGCTGGATCCTTCATTATCAATTCCACACTCGAACGCCATGTGTCATAATCAGCCTCGTGGCCGGGTCTGGGCACTTTTCCTGAGAAGACACGTAACTTTTGAGAAGACATTAGATGAGTTGCATGGTCGTCACTTTTAACAATATGTTCTACGACATATCTTTGAACATCTGGTGGATTCAGATCAGAAGTGGAGATACTCGGGAGTGTGGGTCTCGTTTGAGTCTGAGAGGCAGAAGCAGGTAT